TATATATATATATTATAAATACATACATACAATTGAATGGTAAAATGATTGTTGAGTCATGTACTAGTGAAATTTGATTGTATTGAAAATGATCACATAGGAATATGTAAAATAGATTGTCAATTATTGCAAATTTTTTTAAATGGTGGAGCATATTTATCATCATATTGGACATTAATTCAGTGCATATGACATACTAGAATTGGCATCATTGAGATCTTATGATAATTTTGAAAATAATTGACAAGGAGCAACTTACTCAGCAATAGATCTATTTTTTTGTATTTGTAATTTGTATCGATTATTATATTTTGTTGGGTTTGGGTAGTTTTATTAATGTAGTTATTTTCTTTTTTTACTGTTATGCTTTTTGGTTGAACTCTTGTTAAGTGTTTTAGTTCTTAAAATAAAATTTTTTTCTTTTCCTGCTTATATATATATATATATATATATATATATATTGTTTGTATAGAAATTTTTTTGTTAATACAAAACTAGTTCACATCTTTTTATCAAATATTGTGTTGTCGGGGTGTAAAGGCTTCCGGACTCGTGCCGTGACAGGTTACCCGTGAATTGTCACCAAAAATTAGTTAATCAATGATAACTGTTTTTATTTTTCAGGAACCCAAGGTTGTGGCCAAACTCCAAGAAGAGGTTGGTGATTCAAGCATTTCAATTAGCAGGTTTGAGATTGGTATCCACCCCTTTATTTTGCATATGCTCTCTGACCCGTGTGCTTAGGTTGATTCCATTCTGGGGGATCGATTTCCAACCATTGAAGATATGAAAAAATTAAAGTACACCACTCGTGTGATTAATGAAGTAAGATCTTTTCTTTTCTTGTATAAGAATGTCAGTCATTGATCAATCTGTAATTCATTCACATGTGAAACACAGTTTATCGATCATTTGCAACTAATCCTTGCAGTCTTTGAGACTATATCCTCAGCCACCTGTGCTGATTCGGCGTTCTATTGAGGCTGATCAGCTTGGGATTTATCCCATCAAACGGTAATGGCTCTCTTCTAATAAATTTCCTTAAACTCCCTTGGTCTGGGAACTTGGCTTCCACAGTAACATTCATCTTTAGAAGTTAGAACTATTCGAATTGTGCCCATTCCTGCAAATTTTGCACTATGCTAACCGAGTAATCGGGAATGCTAAATGAAGAAAGCAATTTGGAGCAATGATATACTCAAAATTAAGACAAAACATTGGATTTTACTGAGGTTCATGCTCCAGCCAAAGTGGCACAAGAAAATCCTAATTTTTCTTTAGTATGTTTTGAGGAGTAGAAATTAATTATGGTTAAATGTTGTTGAAGTCTTACTTTCATTTCAGAATACTGTCATCTTATGTTCTTATATGGACGACTAATGAAAATTTAATAACCTTAGACTTATTTTTTGGGGCATTTACAATTTTATGTATATACATGTGTCACATTTAAACTTTCATATTTACACACATTGCACTGAAATCGTTAATGTTACATCAAAAATAACACTATTAGCTTTTTTAAAAGTGAAATTTATCTCTTCATGCATAGGTTTAAAATATGAAAGTTTTGATGTGAGATATGTAAATACATATGAATTGTGTGCTTCATAGGTATTCCCTATTTATTATTGTCTTTGATTAATTTTGTACTGAGTATATGCAATAGCATTTCTTCTGCTTTTCTATACTGTTGTAGCTCAAAAAAATATTACAGCTAATGTGGCTATTTTAAAGTAGATTGTCTCATGCATACACTAGAATAATGAAAGCAATTTTATTTACCATGTTTCTTTCTTTCAACGGCCTTTCCTGTTGAAAATTCTTAATTACAGCATTGCATTTGTTTTATTTGATTGGCAGAGGTGAAGATATATTTATTTCCGTATGGAACATCCATCGTTCTCCTGTGCATTGGGAGAATGCTGAAAGTTTCATTCCTGAAAGATGGCCTATTGATGGACCGAATCCAAATGAAGTGAATCAGAATTTTAGGTTTAATATCTTTGCTTTTTTATCTATTTATATCCAACAGTATTTTCTTTCTCTGGTTTTAATTTTGTACTTTAAATTCTTCATATGAACATTTTTGTCATGGGTTATGTAGGTTTAAATGTTTGAATAAGAAGCTAAATGGAAAAAATTACATATCCTCCTGTAATTCTTGTTCTCTCAGCTTTTTTTATGGCTCATCTGTTTGCTTGTAGATATAAATTACTATTGAGAAAATGATGTTTTGGTCTTCATCTATTTTGTACTATGAAGGATTTTATGAGTGTTTGTAGTGTTTAAAACCTATATTGATTTCTAATTACATGTTTATTTTCAGTCGTCTCTCCTTGCAAAATTCTTCTATTGTGCACCTTAAAATTTACTTTTATCACCTCACATTTAGAGAAATTTGCATTTCACATTTGTTTGGATGCTTTGACGATGTGGGTGCACTCCATAGGAATTTTTTATGCTTCAGATGCATCATCTTGGTCCATTTTATGGGTGAAGGACATTTAAGTGATTTCGAATTCACTAGAGTCAATTTAGACCGAACTTCCAAAATGTTACGCTCGACATGTGACTTATATATCATTATGGTACATATATGTAGGGCAACAAGGCATATCCTCTTTGAGTTTTAGGATAGCATGTCATTGACGTCGACTTTGACTGTGTGACTTATATATCATTATGATGCACGTGTAGGTTAATAGAGCCTATTACTTTTAGGATATCATGTACATATTTCCTCTGTAGAGTTCTATTGGATCCATTTTGACTTTCATATGACTAAATCTTGTGAATTTAATCAGACTTGAGTATAAGCATTAACTCTTTAATCGAGAGTTTTCTTGAATATTGTTAAGGTGTGTAGCATGGAAGAGCACACAGGAGCGCTAAGGAGTGGCAGTGGGCGGCGTACCTATGCCATACTAACGTAGCTACGCGACCAAAGGGTTATTTTGCCGACCAACGTAACCACGCCCATATTGGCGTAGCAGTGTTGTCACTCTGTTTCGTGGCTTTAGAACAGAGCACGCAAAATAATTACGCTGATGAGCGTCTTAACTATGATTTGCATGGTTTCTCCACTGTTTGGTCCTTAAGTTTTGATTTAGAATGATGACTTGCATGCGCACACAACCACACAGTGATCTCGAACGACTTTCTATAGGAGCGGTGAAGTTCAAGGCGCGGATTTCGAGGCGTGCGATTTCTCTTGTGAGATTGAGAGGAAGGTTATGAGCAAAGTTTTGTAAGTTTCAGCATTGTGGAGATAAGATTTCATTGTGCATCTCTAGTTTCTTTACATATCTCCTATTCACAGTGAATTTTTGGTTTGGCGTGGCTTCGTGATTTTTTTTCGTTTCTCGGATTTTTTCACATAAATCCTAGTGTGTTTTTCTTATATTACTTTGTTGTGTTTCTGCTCGATTTCTCTTGTTTTGGATTTTTTTGAATCAGTGTTTCTATTTTTCATAGTGTGGCTTTAATTGTGAACCAATCGAAGCTCTTAGTACAGATTTCATCCCAACAAGTGCTTTTGAGTCGAAGCCATGGTTGATGAAGTGAGGTACAAAGTGAAGAAGTTTAATAGGTCAAACTTTGCTTTATGGAGGATGCGAGTTGAGAATTTGCTGTATCAGAAAAAAGTTGTATTTGATGAATCACCAAAAAACTTGAATCGATGACTATGGAAGAATGAGAAGTGCTCTATTAAATTGCCCCAGGTTTGATATATTTGTTATTCTCCTAGTCCGTTGCATTCAATATAATGAATGAAAAAACAACGATGAATCTCATGGCGACACTGATAAAGATGCATGAAAATCTTCAACTTCAAATAAGTTTTTTTTGATGGAGAAGTTATTCATTATAAAGATGACAAAAACGGTTAAGTGGTTGAACACTTCAACAATTTCAACACTGAAACAAACTAGTTGTGTTTTGTGGGGATCAAATTTGATGATGAGGTCATTGCACTGCTAATTCGGTCTTCATTGCCGAAAAACTAAGATAGTTTGGTCATGATGATGCGTAACTCTTCGAGGAATATTAAGTTGAAGTTCAATGACATCGTGAGGTTGGTGCTAAATGGAAAAGTTCATAGAAAGACAACGAATGGTTTTCAGGGTTTGCATTGAATATTGAAAACCGGTGAAGAAATCTGAACAAAACTACAGACAGAGACATTCAATTTAATAGAGGTAGAGGAAATGACAAAGGAGAATGCAAAAACCGTGAGAAGAAATGACATTTCACTGACCGTCAAGCCCCAAGGAATGTTGGTGGTGGAGGACAATAAAATAATCTCTCTATAAATGTCTCCACCGGGCGTCTTTCTGGTTTTATCTCTAATCAGTACTGAATCTTGAATAGTAGATTTAGGAGCGCCTTTTCATGCATGTCTTAACAAATATATGTTTAAAAATTACACTCAGAGTGATCAAGAGAAAATTTATTTGAGAGACAACAAGGTCTGTAGCATTGCAAGATAGAGTGATGTGCATTTCAAGCTATCAAATAAAACTATCTATAAGCTCAGTGGAGTCGTACATGTTTCAATTTTGAAGATAAATCTGATCTCTGTGAGTCAGCCGAAAAAGTTGGGGTACGTGACTACTTTCACAGGTGACTCGTGGAACAATGGTGATGGTTCATGGTAGCATTGAAGACACTCTTTATCTGATCATTGAACTGATAAATTTCATTGATTTAACTAGAACCAAGGTGGACGTAGGTCACTAACACTGCAGACTTCACCATATGAAAAAAATATATGTGAAATTTCTACTTTTAAAAAATAAACTTCAATGTATGAAATTTATAAATTTAGATATCTTTTAAGATTGTGTATATGACCAGAAGAAGAAAGATCTTTCTCCAAATGTGGGTCAATGATGAAGTCAAAAAAACTGAAGTTAGTGTATCCTGACGTATGGTGTCATACTCCAATTCAATCTATTTGAGATTACCCCTATTTTGTCACATTTATTGACGATCACACTAGAAAGATACATGTTTATTTCTTAAAATAAAAATCTGATGTATTTGAAGCTTTTAAGAAATAAAAGGTCATTGTAAAAAATAAAATAGACTTTAAGCTGAAGCGTTTCAGATCGCGTAATGGATGTTAGTATTGTGATCAAAGGTTCATAAATTATTATGCCATAGAGGGTATCAAACATGAGTTTACTGTTCCAGAAACTCCACAACTGAATGGAGTAGCTGGGCGTATGAATAGAACTATTACTGAGTGTGCCAGAAGTATGAGATTGCATGCAAGCTTGCCAAAAAAATCCTGGGAAGAACTAGTGAACGATGCAGTGTATCTGATCAACAGTGATTCATCATTATTTTTAAAGAAAGACTTGCTTGAAAAAAGCTGAAGTGATAGAGATAAATCTTTCTTCCTTGAAGGCATTTGAGTGTTTTATATATGTACATGTTGATGCAGGATCTATAAGTAAACTTGACTAAAAAACTGTTTTATTGAGTATAACTTAGATCAATTTAGGTACAAATTTAATGATTATGAGAACCAGAAGTTCATCAGAAGCGGATATGTCACTTTTAATGAAATGGAGATGTACAAGAACATGATCAAAACTCAAGATCGCCCATCATTTATTTTTGAAGCGTTCAATAATTTTGAGATAGAATATACTGGTGATTAGGAGGGAGGAGAAATAAGGAGTGCTCAATCAATCAGATGAAGTACATGAAGTTCCTTAGTCACCTGCTAGTGAAGTCAGGAGGCTTGAAGTAGGTTTCGAGACAGTGGTACATGAGGTTTGACAGGTTTATTCCAGATAATGTATAGATGAAGTGTCAGACAGACAACTCTTGATTCATAAAAAAACTTTGATAATTGTTAGATTTTTCTTCTTTGTATGTAGATGAAATGTTGATTGCTGAGGAATATATGGAGAGAATCAGGACATAAAAGAACAATTATCAAATGAGTTCGAGATGAAAGATTTAAGTTTAACCAGAAAGATCATTGAGATGAGAATTCGTTGGGACATGAGTGCATGCACGATGAAATTGTCTCAGATAGAGTATGTTGATAAGGTTCTACAGAGGTTCAATATGGGTGAGACAAAATCAGTTTGCATCCTTGTAGGTAGTCACTTTAAGCTATCTAAGGAATTATCACCTTAGTCTGAAGCATAGCAAGTACAAATAGAGAGAATTTTGCATGCTTCAATATTCAGACGTTTGAAGCTTGCTATGATTTGTAAACCAAATATTACATATGCAGTGGGCGTTGTTAGCAGATGCATAGGCATTCCAGACATACAACTTTGGGAGGCGGTGAGGTGAGTTCTCAGTTATTTGAGAGAAACAATTAACATGACACTTTGTTATGAAAGTGCAGGGATTGGTCTACAAATATTTTTAGATTCAAATTTGACAGGAGATTTGGATGGTATGAGTACAATAGGGTATATTTTCACTTTGGTGAACACATCAGTGAGTTGGGTTTCTATGCTGCAGAAGGTTGTTGCACTTTCAATTATAGAGTTTGAATACATTGCTATCACTGAGGGTTGGTAGCAAAGAGATGATTTGTCTACAAGGCTTTTTGATAGAACTGCGCGAAGAGCAAAAGATTAGAAAGTTTTATAGTGACAGTATGAGTGATATTCATCTTGCTAAGAATGACTTTGTCATGTCAGAGCAAAACATACAATCCAAGTGAGAGATTGTTGTGGTGTGGAGTCTGGAAGAGCACCCACACTGCCGCATGAAAGCACGCAGGAGTGCCAATGAGAAAAGGAGGGAAGTGTACCTATGCTATATCGGCGTAGCTACACCAACCCAAGGGTTACTAGGCTGGTGTAACCACAACCAAATCGGCCTAACCATGCCGCAACTTCTTCGCTTTGTGGCTTTGAAACCAAGAGTGAAATAATTACGCCGAGTGGCGTAACTGCGTCACGTGCAATTTCTCTACAATTAGGTTCTCAAGTCCTCCATTCGGAACTACGACAACT